CTTCCTGTAGTCAGCCGCTGGTCAGTTTCAGCAGCGGCTGAATCTGGATGCCAGTTCCGACTTACATACAGATTCAACTTAAGAACAAACCTACAGTCCCTATCTTGTACGTAACCCGGGGACTGCCTGTACTGTGTTTTAGAAGTGGAAAAGACCCAGTACAGTGAGTTGAGATGAGAAAAGATGATCTCAGAAAAGTGAAGGTTTGCAAAGCAATGTCTCATTTTTCACCAGCTCGTAACACAGACAAGTATTCTTGTTCTATAGGTATTTACTTCACTTGACAAAGATAGACTACTATATGCAATCCCCAGTTCTGACAGATCTTTTACTGTTTGAGCTGGTATGTGCCCAACTGTACTTGTGACTACACACTAATTCTTTGGAAGTAATGGATCTGAATGTGCCCAGATGGAAGCTTTATTTAACTTCCAATCTTCAAAAGGCTTACAATACTACTTTATCAAGAGCCACAAGTCTTCCAACTGATTTTGTTCTGACTAGTCTTGAATACAACACTTGAACCTCTTCTTTTGCAAACTGCTTTACTAAAAGAACCAATGCATAATATACATTTCCACTTTTACCCCTCCAGTTCAGCCATCTGGGTCACCTCCCTTGAAAACATTTTTTAGCTATTCATAAAGTTCCAGTTGAAAGCTGTGTTCCCTCCAAAAGCTTTTCCCAAAAACTACTCATGTCACAAGTGCTTAGTCTCCTCAGTTTCCAAGTAGCCGTTCTGAAATTGAGTCTTGTCTTTCAGAAATCCATTCTTACTGCCATCTCTTCCCCTGGACTTTGTTTCCTTCCTCATACAATCAGAGCATGCCCTTATCTTCCATCCTCAAATTCATTGACTCCCCTCCCCAAACCTCTCTCTCCCAGGGTGTCTTATTCCCTTTCACCTCTAATTCACTGAATACTTCTTTCACACCTGTTCCAAATTCTGCACTGATTTGATCTTCTCCACTTGATCATTCCTCCTCCTTAGCACCTTACCCACCCTAAGTTTATTATACCATCCTATGCTTATTTTCCTTCTACCTCAGACATTTCCTTAAGTTTGTCGGTTGATGGGTTTCCCTCTGCTTTTCTTCCGCTATTTAGGGGCAATTTTCATTTAAATTGCTCTTCTTCCTTTATGCCCCTTTTGTAAAGCAAGTTCATGAGCTCACATGGCTCCAACTACCAGTTCCCAGCTGATGACTCACACCTGGCTGTCTCCTGAGCTGTTTCACTTTGTCCAACTCCACATAAGTCTGTCTTGTGACATCTGTTCCTGAATGCAGACGTGCCAACTCTCCCAAATTAATAGCAAAAGATGCAGTTTCTAAGTAAAATCAATCCTGATGCCTAACATTTGAGAGTTCTGTCCTCACATTGTGAGTCAGGGTTGATTTTACTTAGAAATTGCGGTGGTGGCTGATGTGCCTTGCTGTCAGTCCAGTCATTCCCCAGGGCTTTCTGCATGGCAGCGGGGTTCCTTGCTAACAGCCCCAGGCAACTATGGTTCCTGCT